CTGTTCAATTAAGAAAACCATCCTTACAGTTCAGGATGCTTTTTTATTTTTAAGCAGGGCCTAGAACACTTAGCCACTAATAAATTGTTTAAAAATCCTACTGTGAGTCATATTCTAGTTCTAAACTGCTTTGATCATTCATGAAATAAGACTTGGAGAACAACATTATGAAAGCATTTGTATTTTACTGTAGTAAAATACTACAGACCTTGGTAATATGTTAAGAAAAAAAGACACTTCCCCTTCTCAAAGTCTTTAACTTAATCACATCTGGAAAGAGCCCCTTTCCATGTAACATTTACAAGGTTCAGGTCTAGTGTTTTGGGGATTCATTATTCAGCCAACTACAACATACTCAACAACAGCAATGACAACAACAAAAACACATTGTGCTGGTTGGGTTCTAAGTAATTATGTTGATTTATACTCACAAAAATATATGAAGTAGGTACTATTCCCATTTTTCAGATGGCAAAGCTGAGGCAGAGAGCATGATTATAGTAATTTGCCTCAGCTGTATCATACTCACATGTTCTTTGACCACAAGATTAGTTAGATCCAGTAGCAAAAGTCATTTTTTAAAACTCTTTGGAATAATTTCAGATTTACAGCAAACTTGCAAAACAGTACAGAATTCACATATATTGTACCTTCACCTAGATTCTCCAGATGTTATTAACCTTTTACATTCACTCTACCATTTCCAATATAAATTTTACTGGAACTCCTTTCTTTTAAGATTCAGTTGCATATATAAGGTTCCATTATCCTTAAATGCGCTAGTATATATTTCCTAAAAAAACAAGGAGTAACATTTTCTTAAGTACCATTATCAAAATCTGGAAACCAACATCAATACAATGACAATTAACTTACAGACCTTACTCAGATTTTACTAGTTGTCTCCAGAATATCCCTTAACAAAAGTTTACAAACAATTTTATCTGGGCCAGTATTATGGGTGGTATTTAGTTGTTATATCTCTTTAGTTTCTAATTTGAAGCTCTTGACTGTATAGGCTGTTAATTTTGTAGACTGTTAATGTGGATTTTTCTGATATTTCTTCTTGACAGTTAGGTTATATATTTTGGCAGGAATATCACCTAATGCATGTGTGTCTTCAGTGCTTCATATTACAATGCACAAAATATAAAACTTTTATTAATGATATTAATAAATTTGTTTGTTTGTTTTGGTACCAGGGATTGAACTCGGGACCCTGTGCTTGCGAGACAGGTGCTGGAACCACTGAGCTAAATCCCTGGCCCAATAAATTTGTTTGCAAAAAGAATCATATTTACGAAATCCTTAAATTTTAAATTTAAAAATAACATGTAAAAATAATTCACAGGTCAAAGAAATCAATGTAAAAATATTAGCAACTGAAGAATAATAAAAATGTGTATATACATGTTTGTGTGCATGCACACAATTGTGAGCTGCAGCAAAGGAAGTAATGCAAATGTTTAGATGTTTAAGAAAAAAACACTGATTATGAATGAATTAAATGTTCAACTTACAAAATAAGAGAAAGAACAGAACAAATTCTCAGAAAGCAGAAGGGCAGAGAGAATTGACAAAACCAGAAGTTGGCTCTTAAAAAAATTAAAATAGATAAAATTCTGGAAAATGGTCAAGGAAAAGAAAGCAGGAGGGTAAAAACAGCACGAAAAAGAATTATAAGTACACATCTAACAGATTTTTAAAAATTCCCTTGAGCCACTTTATGATGGTACGTTTACATGTGCAGAGTAAATACTTAGAAAATTTCTTTTCAAAATCGATTTAAGAAAAAATAAAAATACTGAATACTTTACCAACCACTAGAGAAATAAAATCAGCAGTTAAAAGCCTCCCCACAAATAAATACTAGGTGGTTTTATAAATTCACATCATTCGAATCTTTCACAAATTTCTCCAGGAAAACAGTAAAATCACCAACGCTTCCCAATTCATTTAATGAAATTATTATAATCTTAATACCAAACCAGACCCAAAAAAGTTCAAGGAAGATTGCAGGCCAATCTCATAAACACACACATGCAAAAATCCCAAGTAAAGTACTAGTATGTTGAATTCAGTAATGATAATCATCTATGACCAACAATGCAAAAGTAATTTTAATATTAGATGATGCTGATTACACCATACTAAAGCAAGTCTCCAAAACATAAATCCTCAGGAAATATATCACTTAATATGCACTTCAATAGATACATAGCCCTAGTTGTTCTGGGAACAGATATGTTCTGTGCTCTGCCGTATGTCCTCACTCACTAAGGTCTACTTTGAGGACCTTATTTGAAATCACAAGGCTTGCATCCCTACCCACCCCTGCTAATTCCCCATCCTTCTTATCCTGCTGCATGTTTTCCACAGCAGACCCTACTACAATATTATCAACTACTTATCTCTTGCCTTTGTTCCCCTCCCCTCCATCCCTGCCAGTTCTAATGTAAATTCTACAGAGGCAGGGATTTTCACCTGCTCTCTTCACTGTTATTTCTCCAGCACCCGGGAAAGTAAACAATATGGCTACGAACTTTTGTAATGTGGAAGATGAGCTTGCTTATATGCCTCAAGGCTTACCATCTATATTGTCCATGTTGCTTGCTTTTCAATGACACATAGAAAGTGAACAAGTTGCAATCTGCCATTCACATTAAAATTTTAAAAAATCTGATGTTTGTGTTTGTGTTAGATACAATGTTCCTTTTCTAAATGTCTCCAAATATATCTCAATAGTAAGAAAAAATACACTGCCCACAAGGGAATTTAATTGGGCATATTTATGTTTTGTATCATGAAATGAGTGACACAAATATGGTGGCCAAAATATTAGCATATCACAAAGTTTAAAAAATTAAACTATATAATAATATATATATTTTTAAAGGCTTTAATTTGCTTTGATATTGGTAAACTACAGAACACAGTAGCAGAATGTAGGACCACTGAAATCCAGGCAATTATTGGTATCAACAAAGTTAAAAAAGAACAGTACTGAACTCCATCTCATTCCCATAAGCTGTTATCACAACAAATCTTTTACACATGAATCAGCACCATTTATATTGGTATTGATGTTCATTCTATATAAAATTCAGGGTTTTTTTCTTTTTGCAGTGTGTGGAATCGAACTCAGGACCATGCACTTATGAGGCAGGCGGGGTGCCACTAAGCAAAATCCCCAGCCTGTTGTTTTTTTTTAAGCAAAACATTTATTGGTATATTTTAGATATAACGTTCATCATAGGGAATTTGTACCTGTACATGACATATCTTACTTCTTTTTTTCTCATCCCCCTTTGACCCTTCTTCCCTTCCTTATATACAAAAGCTTTGTTTCTTTTTTTTTTTTTCTTGGTACCAGGGATCGAACTTGGGTCCTTGTGCCTGTGCAGCAAGCGGCGAAACCACTGAGCTAAATCCCCGGCCCTGTTTCCATTTTTTTCCTTCTATTTTTTTCTTGTCCCTTCTTTCCTTTCCCCCTCCCCTCTCCCTTGTTCCCTTCTCATTTGAACATTTTCTTCCCGTTTCCCAATATCTATTACACATTTTAATCTTTGTTTCCACTTTCCGTTTCTCACACTGGAGAAACAATGTGGTATTTAAACATGTGTTGTCTGATTTATTTCACTTACGAGTATGGTCTCAAGATGCAACCATTTAGCTATAAATGTCTCAAGGTTCAGTTCTACCTTGACTAAATAAGTATCAGGTGACAGCTTAGCTTCATCTCTTCAGGGTAAGAATATCTGGGAAGTGGAGGCCAACAACATCAACTTTAACTGTTACTTATTCCAAGTGCATGTCAGATTGGGATAACAGCAAATCAGATCGGTGGAAATAATTGTCATAAGACACTTTCTCTAATGTTCCTCTGATGTCTAAGGGGCAATATTTTGCGTTTCCATGCAAAAGGATAATGAAAAGAAAAATAAATTATAGCTTTCTATTCAGTAAGGCAAGCTAACTCTATTCATGTGATTAATACTATCTTCTCCACTCTTTTAGTGCTCAAATCTCACCTAGCACACATCAGAAAAACTCAAGTCAAAGTCAACATAAACTTTTTTTTTTTCGTACCAGGGATCAAACTCAGGACCTTGCGCTTGCGAAGCAGGTGTGGTGCCACTTAGCTAAATTCCCAGCCCCTAAACCTTAACTTCTTTAACTGTAAAAAATGCATTTCACTATTATAATGGTTTCAAATATATTTCTTCTCTTTCATTCTACATTTTCATGTCCCTTGAAGGTGGTATTTCCATGTCATCATCTTCAACCTTGAGTGTTGAACACAACAGGATATACTTGCCAAGCTAGAGCAGTCAAAGCCATAACACGGAATTTTGAAATTGCCAAGGGATTTGCTAGCCAGAATTACAACTATTTTCTAACTGGGATAGCAGAAAAAGTATTTTGTACCTTGCAGTGTAGCTGGCCCGCAAAAACAATCTCTCCCTTGTTTACCCATCTCTTCACAAAAATAACGACCACAGCAACCAACCAGTCAGCTATTAGTGTGTGAAAGCATATAAAATCATGTCCAGATCATGGAGAGGAAAAAAGAACGAATGATATTGTTTTTCATAAAGCTAAATTTATTCAATTTAAACGATGGTCCTGTCCTTTATTCTGAGATCATGTTCTTTCTGCTTTTGGGGCGCTAAAGTATCTTCTCTTTTACATAATGATTCTGATAACAGATGGTAACTTGTTTTTTTTCTGTTTTGTTATGTCCTCAGCTAGCAAAATTAACAACTAGAATCACTTCAACACCTGAATTAAATTTTCTTTTTTTGGGGTAAATTTACTGATGCTTCAAATCAGGAACCAATGATGACCTAGGCAAAGTCCTACCTTCTATGTTACATATTTCCAGTACTGAACTCTTCCTTGGTGACACCTTGAACAGATTTATGAAGCATGACATCAGTCTTAACTTACATTGATCCGGTGTCACTGTGGCCTTAGTTTCAAGCATTAAAAAAGCAGACTTTCATCCAACACGATTGTCATCTCATTTTTATTAGAACCAGTTCTAATATTCTTACTATTACAGAAGCAGTCTATGTTATATTCGCGAGCAACATTGGTGCAACAGAAACAAAGCAGGCTGGGGTTTGTCTCCTGGTTTGGGGTTTCAGTGGCACCAGAGGAAGCTGGCAGCTTCAATGTACATTTTGGCCCATTTACCTTTGTAATTCCATCATACTACACATTTAAATCAAGGAGAAATAATACATGTTACAAGAAAGCATATATTTTGGTAGGCTACACAGGTGAGAAGTAACTTTTCTTTCACAAATATTTTTATGTCATTAGCTACTTTTTTTTTTTGGTAGGCACCAGGAATCGAACTCGGGACCTTGTGCCTGCAAGGCAGGTGCCAGAACCACTGAGCTGAATCCCTGGCCCCTCATTAGCTACTTTTGAGAAAGAAAGAAGAGTTCCATATAAAAGTACATATACTGGTCGTATATGTAGAAAATCTTACAGATCTATGTAAATTACAGCTTGTCTGTCTGCCCATAAGTGAATCAATGAATCCCCATTCCCTCAAAGTGTTAAAAAAAAAAAAAAAAGAGTGCCTAGCCATCACATTTTTCTAATATATTTCTGAGAAAATGCAAGTATAATGATCATTAGCATCTTGGATCAGATGAAAACGGTTGAATTTTATGCCTGTCTTTTGTCATTCCGTGATTTGTTATAACTGTGTTTCTTCCTATGAAGTTGTTCTTGGTGATATTAGTTCTATATCCATTTGATAGGGGCATTTATATTACTCATCAACATTTTTCCAGGTGGTACCGGACTATGTCAGGAACTCCTCAGAGCAACTTTTGTTTTCTTCCCAGTGATGACAATGCTGAGCCATGTCCGTTCACTGTTGAAATGACAAATGCATTCTGGGGGCTTGGTGGGGCTCCTTGCAGGGCAAAAGCATCTGGCCAAGTTATTCAGTGCAGATATCAGGTATTAATACTTAGTTCTTCTTGTTTTTCTTCAGAAAGTGAGCTCGCACAGCCTTGTTCATATTCATGGCTATTTTAAAGTAAATCCAAGAAGGCAAGGCTAAGGTGAATGAGGCCTAGGGAAAGAAACGGGGAAGATATGGAATTATAGCCTACAATTTGGGCTAAATTAAAGCCTTTGTCTTATATTTTACTATACTGCTACTTTATTTATAGGCACATTTCAATGTTCTTGGGTATGTAATTGAAAATAAAACACAGAGGCCTTGTAAGCCTAGACAATGTATGTAAGTCAGTATATATCATAAATTATTTGTGACTCAACAGAAAAGAAAATCCCAAACTGGAAGGTCCTGATTTAGGACTTAGAAATCTACGTACCATAAGAGCATGCACCAGGTATCCACAGGTGCGAGACTTCAGACCTACTGTTTTAAGCGCAGATTTCACAAATGTGCTTGGAGAGGGCTTGCCCAGAGTTGGCTTTCGGATTTTAGACATTTTCGTAGCAACATAGTATGGCAGGACACTCTAGAAAGATGACACCCCCCAAGACATGACAGTAATTAGGAAGGTGACAAAATCAGAATAGTGAGCTTCACGATTGCTGCTCATGGTGGAAACTCTAATAAAATCTAAAGTTTGTATCTTAGAGAAGAAAACAGAAGCAGCTATCCAAAGCCAACTTGTTAGAACACATGGTAGCATCAAACAAATTGTAACAAGCCAGTTTTATCACGTAAGCAGAATGAGACTAGAGAAAATACTAAAAATAAGCAGAAACGGACCTTTTGGAACCTTTGAAGGAAGACCTTGAACCCTAATTCAAACAGCAGAGATTCAAGACAGGATACTTTCTTCCCCGACTACATGGATCATGGTTACAGGGCCATCGAGTATGAGATTTCTGTCATTTTACCTTTGTAAAGAGATACTAATTTTCTCTACAATTTATCATTACTTAAGCTTGTTCTATCATTGTTAGTCCTTCTAAAATAGACATTTCATTTTCTCAGCTTTAGGTTACCACTTTTCTTCTTTGATCTCTTATCATTCTGAGTTTTACAAACTTTGCTACCGATAAAATAGGATCATCTCTTTTTGTCCTGTTTAGGGAAAAGATAGCATAACTATATAGAAACTGGGAGACTAAGACATCTGTCAGGACACATCTGAAGGTGACCTGCTAGAGGGATTTCACAAATGTTAAGTCCTTCATTGCTCTGTATGCTGGACATGACTCAACACAAAATGTAAGGAAACCCTGTCTTGACAAGTCCCGAGTCATGATAAGAGATTCCTCCTGTGATGTGTGATACCTTGTCACAGTATGGTAGTTCACCAATGAGTGAACATGTTCTGTTCATCTCCCAAGTGTGAAAGGAAAGGGTTTAAATTACAGTGATATAGTATTAAAGAAGAAGATCTTTTCCAACACATGGTGGTCAGAATTGAAATCTTCCACTTACAAGTAAAGTTGAGATCTCCTCCATACCATGGGTTTCTTTTTTTGCTAACGCCTGGAAGGAATGGATCCATGATGTTTGGGGCTTTTGTGAATAGGAGTACTTTGGTAATTTTGTAGTTTCCCTACTTCCAAGTATGAGTCAAGGATTATAACCTGCCATTCCTTAACATGTAAGCTGAAACTCCAGCCTAGTTCAGAGCCAAGAACTCACCACTGTTTGATCACTGTCATCTCCGTCTTTCTCTTTTATGATCCTTGTAGCTACAAACTCACCCTAAGTAAACTAACTTCACCCGAGGATTTCAATACCTGGGCCCACTTTGGTTATGTAACTTTTGGCTTTATGAATTTGTTTATTGGGATTGCCACTACACATTTATCCCTCACTTTTTTTTTGTTAAAAGTCTGTACTTTTAACTATTTTGCCGCAAGGGTACACAGACCAAAGAAGTATTTCACACTGACAGAAGTATGAAATGTAGAGTTTAATGGGTAGGTAGCTCAAGTGTATTCATCAAACAAAGCTGAGAAGCAAACAGGGCAAAATGGAATATAGACATATACTCTGATCGCAAATAATGAAGGAATAAAGCAAACCTTATCTCTAGTCTTCAGGTTTACAGGTTAGAAAAGGCCTAAATTAAAAAAAAAATCCCTATATGTAGATTAGAAGCCTGATAAAGGTATAGTTTTGAGCCTCCTTAGCTCAGTGGTTCCACTGCCTGCCTCACAAGCGCAAGGTTCCGAGTTCGATCCCCCCCCCAAAAAAGTTTTGAGCCTCTCAAAATCAAGATGGTCTGATAATTATGCCTTTCAATTGCATTATAAGTCTTTTTTCCTTTCTTCCATCCTTCTGTCCTCCATCCCATAATGTGCATATGGCACCAACCCCGCTATTTTAATCTTGTAGGAATAGCTGCACTGCCTGACTGAACCACTTGGTGGTGCCACAAGCTAATTTATCCCTCAGCTCAACGGCGGTGCCAGTCTGGAGAATCCTCTGGCTCTCGGGGTGGAGATGAGAGATGGACACGCAGAGGCTCCAGGTCGAGTTATGCTTTCCCAAGTAGGAAATGTAAATTCTACTCTGGAAAGGGAATTTACTTCTTTTCACCATGGGTTTCCTTCCACACGGCCTAGTAGATGGGAGGGATTCCGAGATGAAACAGCTTTTGAGCTAAGTCCTACAAGGGGTGGAGTTTGCCGGGTAAAACAAATATGGGAACAGCCGGAAAAAAGAAAAAGAGACAAAAAAGAACATGGATTTTGGGGAACTGCAAGAAATTCAGTATAGGTTCAAACACTAGAAATGTGTGAAGCAGTGGTAGGAAGGAGGCAAAATGGTACCGAAACTAAATCCAATGGCTAAATGGTTTCAGGTTCTAGGATACGAGCTCCGTGAAGACACAAGGGCACTACTATGTTCTCAAAGCTTGGAACAGCACCTGGTACACACACAGTAGGAGTACTGTGGATATTTAACTGAACGAATCAGCAAAGTAACACTTCACATGGCCAGCAATGAAGAACAGTACTGGGGTCCTTTCCACTGTCACCATCCAGAAAATTAAATACATCAGGGGGTTGGAATTATGAGAGTTTAAACCGAAAGTTTAGATATTCTCAAGCTTAAGTGGGATCATTTATCTCAACAAGGGCAAATGTATAGATTTAGCTACTTGCCACAAAAATTTAAAAAGCTACGTAAAAGTAAAGAAATATCTTTTACATAAAAAGTCATCTAGGTACATCCTTAAATTGCTAATTAAAAGCCCAAGAAACAATAATTAATTCTTTTCTCTGCTTACTCAGGAAAACATCATGGGAATCAGGTCAAGAAAATACTCAAGACTTACAGGAAGTATTTTGGACAGAACAAATTTTTGAAGTTTCTTAAGCTCAACAAGTTGCCGTTACAAATTTTGCTTCCTCAGAAACAACCTGACCTTGATTGCCACTGACTTAGGCAAATTTTCTAGTTTCCCAATATAGAATGCCAAACTGAAAATAATTGGTTAGGCCATAAAGGAAACATTATTGATGCTTTGTCCTTGCTTAGCCTATTAAAAAAATCTCTGGTGACAACTTTGTAGCTTTTTTCTTCTCACTCCCTGGAGTAGACTGCTTAGGCATCTGTCTTCCCAAAACAACTGGAGTCTTGGTTTAGCACAGAAAGGCTACTGCAACTTAATGCCGTGGGGTAGTGGAAAGGATGCCCGAAGCTGCACGGCAAATATTTAAGAATCAAACACTGAACCTTGGAACTTCACATGGTAGGGCATCTTTCATAGACAGTAGCTGTGCACTAAATATGCTTTCCTAAATTTAGAAATGACCAGAACAATCCATAACAAGGCTTTCCACTTTATTCATTAAACATGGAACTCTAGAGATGGTGTCTAATCTACCTTTTTTGAGCAGTGTAGCCAGCACATATTCTTAGGTCAGAGGCTGCAGCTCCTATGAGGCATAGTAAGGAAACTTTAGTTTAAAGAATCTGTGTATTCATCTACAATTTCAGGACCTGAAGTCCTCTAGAAAATCTGAGTGATTTTATACACACATATGCTAGTTTTGGAGTTTATAATACTCTACTGTATGCAGACCATGAAATGAACTTTTCTACAAAAAGGCCCTTGATTATCTCATGGGTAGAAAACGTTAGGAAAAAGGAATTGTTCTGATGGTACAAAGATCTCTGCTGTATGGCAATTAAAAAAAAGGCCTCTCGATAATAATACGTGTAAGACTTAGCACTAAGCCCAAAATGAAGGTGTTCGAAATACTCTGGTCTGAATAAAAAAAAAATTCTTGATAAATTCTGGCTAATGATCATATAAATGGTGTACCTCCAAACATGTGGAATTTATATGTTATCAGAAAAGAACAAATGGAAAAACTGTAATCACACAAAAAGCATTCATTTAATATAAATTATTTCCTGAGCACACACTAGAACAATGTTTAGGCACTGGGAATACATTTGCACAGAAAAACAAAGAGTTCCTAATTTTATAGAGCTTGTATTTTAGTAGGGGGACCTAGACCACTAATGAATAATAGAAAGTATATATAATAGTGGCAGGCAGTAATAAAAAGGAAGACACCTAACCCTGGGTAAAGGACATTGGTGGTGGAAGCAGTTGATGGAGTTGGGAGACCTCTTGGAGGCCGTGAAATCTACACAAAGATCTGAAAGAAGGGAGGGAAGCCAGCCAAAAGGGATAACTGGGGGAAGAGTCTTTTAGACTGAGGGGGAGACCAGTGCAAAGGCCCTGAGGTGAGGCAAGAGTGTGCTCTGGGTGCTCGAGGAACTGCAAGGAGGCTAGACAAGCAGCGGGATGATGCAAGATCATGTGGAAGTTTGAAATCAGAACATTGTGGGTCCTAAGAATCATGGTTTCATTCTGAAGAAGATGAGAAGCGCCTGGGTGAATCTGAAATAAAGAAGTGAAATGATTAGATTTTGCCACTGTGAGCAAACTTAGGCAACGACAGGAGTGGGAAGGCCAGACAGGGAGGTGCTGGGTTGTCCAAGTGGCTCAAGTCAGAGCGGTGGCGGAAGTGGTCAGGCGCTAGGTGTGTTTCAAGGGTAAAGTCGGTCGGGCTTCCTGATGGACTGAATGTGGGATGTGAGGGGTGGCAGGGAAAGAATCAGTGCTGGATGAAATCAGACCAACTTGCATTCAAATTCCAGCTTGGCCCCTTGCTAGTGATATGCTCTGGAGCAACGCTGAATTCCTACGGAACTGAGGAACACAGCATCTTGCTTACTGACTGTACCATTCTGAGAATCACATCAAACACTGTCAGTTGGAGCACGGGAGATTTGAATTCTAGTACACATTAGCAACTATTTTCGAAACTGTGTACTATTTCTATTTTCAGGATCAGTTTGGAAAGAACTTGGCCGAATCTTATATCCCGTAAGAGGTGGTCGAATACCATTCCAGAGAATATCTGACCTTCGAGGGAGCCAGAAGGATGATGCAACAGTTGTTTGCAGGGACCTCTGAGTTTGCAGATCTTGCGTCCAACAGAGTTGCAATAGGACACGAAAAAA